ATATTGTTTATTCTTAAACCATATAAATGTACATTTGTATTTTTCTTTATCATTTCTTAAATTATCAATCAATTGAATAATTCATAAAATCTGATTTGTAACTTTGAATAATTCCTCGGCATCTTTACTAAACACGAATAACAAATTAAATAAAATATTTCAAAGTTGATAGTGTCATATTAATGCCATAAAAATGTACATTTTTTCTCAATTATTGTACATATTTATTGTTTTTATCTCATATAGATAAAATAAAACATGCGATTTGTGTTGTTGGTTTTTTTTTTCGAATTGTATGTTTATGTATAATAATAAGCAATAATTTTGAGAGTTGATCTGTGTTTATTAATTATTGTAACCAAACTAAGTGACAAACATTCATTTTGAAAAAAAAGCTTATTTTCTGTAAAATATTTGTTCTGTTCTGTAACGATATCAAACATCTACTCCAAAACCGGGAGAGACCGGACAATAAACGTGTGGTACTATTCGCCCCCGGTCAAAATAGACCGGTAGAGACCGGGAATTACCGACAGGAGTACATCCCTCTATAAATAGATTTTCGGAATATTTAGGTCATCAACTCATCATTCTATTTACAGCTTTCGGAATAACATACCATAATAATCCACTGTGTACTACAAAATGATAAATAAAAATACCTGGAAGAGCGCGATTTATTGACGGAAAAGGTTATTTAATTTGAAAATGTTTGTATTGCGAAATTCTCCAGTTCGCTATTCATTGTACATATCGCGACTAATTAATAATCAAGCACCCTCATACCGATCGGAATGATCGGCTTTTATTATGAACAACTGTAAAAGGCTCGAGAAGTTGCTGTCGCCCTTTCACAAAATCTGATTTCATTACATAAAAGGCGCCGCGCTTAGGCGCGGACGCCAATGACCATGATCATAGCATCGTAGGTCTCCCTTTAACAGAAAAGTCTCCATATGACCTAAACAATACTTTATTATTCTAGTAATTGGTGTTTCTATACGACCTTACGACCAACAGATCGAAAGAATATACTTGTTCACAATTAAACAGGAAGAGGAAATTTATCAATACAATTAACGTTTAGATCAACTGGATCATAAATTTCGTAACATCGGAATTTTTTTTCAATCTTGTATTTTCTGCATTGTTTCCAATTTATATCACTTTTTATCGTCATGAACTGTTAAGAATGCGGTAGCAAAAAAGGGAGAGAGAGAAGAAAAATCTGCAAACTATATTTGATAAATTTGAGATGGTATTTTATGCCAATGAATAATAATCAAACAGCGTGCACAAATTAGGCTTTCCTTTGTGAAACTAATGTTCACTTGAAACTAGTTATAATGTCATTTCTTTACTCCTTTGAAATTAGAGGAAACACTAATCATCTGAACAAAGTGGGGATCTAAAAACGGTATTTGCTCAGCCTATTTTTATATGTACTTGTTAATTTTCACCGTTATTAAAGTAATACGCTTTTATAAAGTATTTTTTATAAATCCTATTGATTTGGAGGACGACTGTACACACAACCGTTGATGAATAATAATTCCAGTAGTGTTTAAATACACTCAGTGGTTGATAAAATGTTGAAAGGTCCACTTGAGAACCATTTCGGTGAACACTCCATTCAATGAAGAGATCTCGTTTACTTTCATTGTAGAGGGCAGATGTTTTAACCTATCTTTGTTACTGAAAATATTACTGATCTTTTATGTCATGAAATAGATTATTGCAAAAAAAAAGAAATGATTGCTTCGTTAATTTGTACTTCTGTGTTTAGATTCTGCTCAAGGTACAGATATTTTCCAGAGACTGTAAATCTGTTCTGTTTGTAAATGTTTAGAGATAAAAGTAAGAATACAAACTTTGAACTGCTAAAATTACATTTCCTATGTCAAATAAGTATTGCAGAAAACTTAAAAATTGCTTCCTTTGTGTGTACAGCTTTACGTTATATACGGAGATAGGGTAAAGAGGGTATTCCTACAATGAACTGAGAAAATGTTTTCAGTTTCATACAGGAACCCTGGTATAGTGAGTTCTTCAATAAAGCGCTAACATCTTTACAACAACTGTTTCAATTATTTCTAAAATAAGGCTTCACAATGTTTAGAATAGAGTTAACCTCTCTAGAGGATCACTTCTCGACAACGACCACCATTGTTGTCTCCCAAAGGGTATTGCTGTGCAGAGGATGTATGTTTGAAACGAAACTGAGACTAGTTCATGGTTCAATGACAATAAACAGACGTACTATTGAACAATACGTGTTCCTGGTCAATATAAACTCCGCATGATTTTTTTTTCAGCCGGAAACATCCATATTCTCCAAAATCTTACTTTGATCAAAGAGGGCATATACTAGTAAATTGTATTCCGAGCTCAGAGTCAATGTTCTCAACCCCAACACTTTCCATTGCTAAAAGACTGCATACATGTATTTGGGCGGTTGTGTGATGAAAATTTCTAGAATTTTAATGCTTTTGAGAATGGACAAACTATGGAGTTTGGGTGTCTAAAAAACTGAACAGGGCCGCATGTTGGGCATTGTGATACATTGTAATAGAGAAGCAAAGTCAAGTTCACATCTTCTATGTATAATTTTAAACCATTTTTATGAAAGCTTCATTTTGAAGAATGTGTGTTGCTTATTTAGACCTTTCTTTCTTTTTGCTGATATGAAAGATTTTAGATATACTTTTTCTATTATTGCATACACACTTGTGCGTGCCTTCCACAGCACTATATTTGTTGCATTTACACAAATTTGTTACTTATAAGAATAATAGCAACGCAATTTACTGTAACCTTACCAGGAATTTTGATATTGAGACTATCATTTTGAGACTATGAAAAAGACAAAAAGAAAATGTTGTATTTCATATATTTATTGTTTCATAATTTATGCAAGTAGAAGAAAATGACATTTCAATATCATATAATTCAATAAATTCAATAAAGAGGCATGCATCACGTGTCTATAATACAACAAGATTATTGAACACATTTTAAAATGACTCTGCTTATTTGTGTGCAATTACATAGAAAAAATGCACATACACCAAATAAAATTTCAGCACTCTGTCGAACTAACATTCACTTTTAAATGTTTGTGTTAAAAATCGCATAGAAAAGTATACAAAACAAAAGTTTGTGTCACATCAATAACAAAAATCAAAATAGTTGATCGTTACTTTCACCCTTACTTTTTTCATCTCTATAAATAAACTTAAATGCACATTCAATCAACCATGGAAATGCATTTTTCACAATAAATTCTCATTTATTATCTACTCATATAATTATAAATATATAGTGGATTATTTTTCCTGCTTTTCCCGCTATGAAATTAAACAAAGCTGACGGAATTCACTCCCTAGTACATTAATACGCGGTAATACCATAATACTTGAATGGTTGGAGCTCATGACGTCAGTTAGGCTGTTTAATTTTACTCCCCCGTTTTGCTATTTGTGATATCTGAGGTGATGTTTCTGAATTTTAATGATAAGTATGAAAAAACCACCATGTATGAGCAAAAATCGCTTGATGTAATGTTTTTAACTAATAATATGATAAATACCTAACAAATCAGTCAACAATCATCTAATACTGTGACAAATTAAGCTGGAAGACATTCTAAGTATGACTTTCAAAGTTATAGAGCATACGATAGTATCGTAAATTCTCTATAATTTTCCACAGCAGTTCATTTAGCTATAAACTAACACAATTTATAGCAACAACAATAAACAACAACAAAACAAATGTTGATGATTTTTGAAAACAAGCACTATTTGTTACGACATGCCACATCGTATCTCCAGCCAGCGTGTCCGAATATTCCGAACAATTTAAGACAATGCACGTGAACTGGAGACACAGTTATGTCATTAATATATGTATGATTTATAGCCTTATCTTAATGGATGGATACTCTTACCACTTTTAACTGATTTTGGTTTTTGCCCTAAATCAATAAATCATAAGAAAAGATTTTCTTGGTCTCTTTTCATTTGAGCATTTATGTTTATTGGATTTGTTCGAAATTCTGAAAAGATTTCTTTTCAAAATCATAGATAGTATCTTTTTTTATCAAAAAACGCATACCAAAAAATACAGTTATACTCGCAATCTTAAAGGTCGCCGAACAGGACATAAAAATGCAAGTTAAAAATCTGCACTGAATACAAATGGTGTTATAGAATACATGTACAATATAATAAATAGTATGAAACTTTGTCATGGTCGTTTGCTCTCTTTCTGCGACAATTTCGTACAACATTAAAAATACATATGTACATACAAATAAAAAAATAAATGAAAAGAAATAAAAAAACACTTGTAGAGTTTTAAAAGGTTTTGTAGAAAGAAAAAGAAATACTCAAAGAGTGCGGTTACAATTTTGCGCTTCAGTATAGCACGAGATATCGGAGATGTCATTTTGCCGTTGTAAATGGTCCGATAATTGGTCCACTGTTGAAGATTTACAAACGCTTCGATCAATCATCAAATTAGTTTTTCTTATCATTTTACATACACTTAATCATTCCCGGTGGACTGACAATTGCTGTTTAACAGCTTCTTGCTGTAATACATGCACACATTTGTATCATAGTTTGGAGACCTTTCTGTTGAAAATGTGTCAGGGTTAAATCGTATACATATACATGCACAGTGCGTTAACTGGAGTGCGGGTATTAGTTACCCGCACTCCAGAGCATGCCCATTGATTGGCTCATTTTTGCTGGGGTTTACATATTGTGACGGCAGAGAAAGGGAAAGCGACAGAAATGTCATATCCAGATGTTCGTTCATTGGTTCATTTTTGCCGGGGTTTCATATTGTGATACAGGGAACGTGCTTTTATGTTTGACTATGATACAAAAGAGAAAGAACACCAAAACACTCGGCAATCTGATTTATACTCGGGGGCTACGCCCCCTCGTACAAATCAGATAGCCTCGTGTTTCGGTGCTCTTTCTATTACTTATCATCCGTAGACTGGTCAGTAACGTGTAAACAACCAGCACGCTAAAGATAACACCTATCTTTAAAAGTTAGTTGCAGACATCAAACGCGCCGACGTCGGCGTATCAAAGAGAAAAATTAATTAAACAAACGGTTGGTCGCACTGACCGTAACTAATTAATGCTACACTAATTATGAATAAATGATCCTTTTAGTGGGTTTTTATTGTTTTAACAGGCACCCGGATCATCTTTATTCGGCTAAATACCGTCTCGCCACATCTTAGGTCATAACATGTTCGTTTAAGTTATACTGTCTCCCCTAGAAGTTTGTATTGAGCACGAGTTCAAGGGTTATCTTTGGCACGTGTAATTCATCATTTACATTTAAGGGTTCATTTCTAACTCTTGTTGAGGTAGCCATTTCATAAATTTATCCCATTTATCATTACAACTCGACTTCTTTCATCAGTGGTGTAACTTATTGCAGCCAGTTTTCCCCGTCATCTCCAGAATTTCTAAAAAGAAAAAATGACGAAGTTAATAAATATCTACATACAATATTTAAATACGTACGTACAGTTTTAATTGGTCAAATGCTTTTGCACATAAACTGTATAAGAACGACTACTTAAAAGGGATAAGCCTAAATTAATCTGTCTTATACTGTATACACTGAATACATCTATATTGGCCTGTCCGTAAAATACAATTTTGGGCTGTTCTTTTTAAAACTATATTGGCCTGTCTGTATAAGACTATACTGGACTGCCTGTATATGATTATATTGGACTGTCTGTGTAAAACTATATTGTTATTTTCTGTTTAAGACTACATTGGCCTGGCAGTGTAAGACACATATTTGTTTAACTACTTCCAGATTTGACACATATTAATATAAAATCAACTTGACTAAGCTCTTTTCTTTTGGTTGGCTTTTATTATTATTTCTTTTTTTCCATTTTTTATACATTTTAGTATATTTTGCACTTTATAGCTTAACACCATTCTACATGTATATATCTCCAAACAACGATGATGCATATAAAAAGAAGATAAAAAGCAAATAAATCTGTAAAGATTGTATTTGAAGAGGTCATCTGGTAAGTTTGGCTATTACAACGATTTATTATACATATCTGTATGTAAACAGACCGGAGACTGGACTGAATTCTGGCCCCTGGGAGGACAACAATTTTACGGACGATTAGACACATTTCGAAAAATCACAACCCCCAGGCAAAACAATCCGCATATGTTTACATATCTATCTCAAATCATACACTTGAAGTCCTGATCGAATTTAGATAAAATATTGTAAATTAGCTGTGACTTTGTAATAAGCATAAACAACTCCCGAAAAGTTTCTAAATTATGGAAAATATACGGGCAATATGTAAAAAATTTACAAATTACATTACTCTAGTCGAATTGAAAAAGCAAAATGCAATGAAATTTGATAGAATTTTACCTAATATCTTTAAGTCGTCTGCGCAACACTTGATGAAGTGTGTCAGTTTTCAGCATCCATGCACCTGAGTACAGCTTCTCACTTTACAATCTGGGCGTAATTTGGCACAGTCACAGGAAACAATCGGATTGAAGAGTTTGTTTCTTCTTGTTACTATAGCGGCAAATTGTGTTAAATGAGTCATGTAATTTGACTTGTATTGCACGTATTAAATATATGCACGTGTCCATGTTGTGCTTATATAAAATGTTTACACTTCTCCACAAGGTGAACACAAAAAGCAATAACTTTGAAGATTTAAAAAAATATATCACAGACGAAAAAAATATTATGTAGTTTTCGTATCAGACGACACAGTCTTGAATATTGTTTCTCATTAAATTCAATTTCCCGCCATTTCTGTGTCTGTTTGAATAACTAGAATCTGCACTTTGGAATCCCGACGAGGAGCGACTTTCGTCGTCATAATACATCGGCATACTGTAAGATGACGACGGCGTCGACGGTGTTAAGTTGTTCGCAACTAGTCCAGACCCCATATAAGATGGCGTCTTTTTAAAGGAGAATGGAATGATTTTCTGGTGTGGAATTGTGTCGTTCTGCAGACATCTTGACGGAAATGTCGTCATCTGTTGCATGCTGGGACTTTCACTTCTTGAGCTTTCCCATCTGTCCCTTGAGCGTTGTATATCTGGAAATAAACCCGTATTATTGATAATTGACATACATGTCTATATTTCAAAGTTTTGGTTCAAAGGGCTGCAACTTTATTTATAAATTGTTATGTTACAATAAATTACATCATTATTTTTATTCTTTAGGTTTATTCGGTTGAAGGACACTCGTAAAAGTTTCAGTATCGCTGTGTCGTTGTTAATGTCAAACATTAAAATAAAATGTCGCTTAAGTCTCTGAAATGGTCAAATATTAAATACAAACTTTTTTTGACTGGTGATGTAAATGTAAAGGGAACAGAAGAGAGATAATTCAACCAGTTACTTACCATCTCTAATAAAACCTAAACCAGACGGTATCTGAAGGTCATCGTCACTACCACCTTTACCACTGTCTCCGTTACTCTCTCCTGACATGTCCGAATGACAATCGTCCAATTTACCTTTTGGAACACATAGCTGATATTGAGGCGGGGGCTGAAACGAATGAATAAATATACATTAAATAATTCGTCTAAAACTTGTCATATTTAATAATTTTTCGTTCAAAGTTAATTCGCAAATTATATAATGCACTGTTACACATAAAACAGAATTCGTTCATGATTTGCGTGCAAAACGAAATGCATATTGTTGTGTTCAAATGCACAAGAATCACACGCAGCGTAATCTAGTACCATAAATTGTCCGTAATCGTTCACTTAAGTAATCAAGCTTCCAAAAAAAACGCAAGCATTGTTTGTGGTTCAAGTAAATCATTGTTTAAAAACATGTAACGAAAACCTTATAATTTCACAGTCATTAAATAATCATTACCCATTCTTCAAACGCTTCGAAATTTGGACCAAAATTTGAACGGAAGTTTTTTTTGGATACGTCATTGTTTAGCGTTCAACTTATGATATCACCGTGTTCTCATTCTTTCAAAATTAATAGTATGAATAATTAAACGGATGCTTTATAAATTCATATATCACAGCTCGTGTAAGATTGACAAGATAAAATATGTTAACAGATGAGTCTCAAGACGTAACTAAAACCTGTACAGGGATATTTTACAAAACCATTAAGCGAGTTGGAATTTAATTGAAAAAAAAACACACCAACATATTCAGCCATTCTGATACATCTGTTTCCTAATTTGTAACGAATCACAGAGATGACACGTGAGATCTTTTATATCTCATCGACGCCAGAGACAGCAGAAATATTCTCGCATGCCATCCTTTGTGCTTCCGTATTTTTGCCCCCCCCCCCCCCCCCCCCCACAATGAGAATGACAATGTCACGCAGTAGAGAGGAGGGAAACAAAAAAGGGATGTTCAAACACTGTATTAAATGACACGTAGTATCGTAGTGTAGTTACCGGCTTAAGTTCGCTCAATAACAGGATATATTATAAAACGAACATTTCACAAAAACTGTCAATGCGTATGATACCCCGCATATTATAATATTAATCCGTACCATTACGTGAACGTTGGCATTAGACCACTAAATCACCATGAGTTTGCACTATTTTAATAGCATTTACCTTTTTCATATTTTTTTTTATATAAATTTCGTTTAAAAAGCAAAAATGTACCTTCACAATGTTATCTCTTCATTGAAAAATATATTTCTTTTTATTTTCATATCACAAAAAAGACATGTAAAATCTCAAGGCTGGTCTATAGAAATGAATTGTAAAATAACAAAATGCACTGATGACTTAGATCACCCAAAAACTTTTGTAAAGCGTTTAAATAGAAAATGATAATTCAGAAGTCAAATTGACAATAAAATGACATATTATTATAAATTTTTCTTGTATTGTGGGGTATCAGATGTGTAGATAGTACTTATTCTTTTCATTTATAATAAATGTAAACTAATCTAATGGCTATTATATGTATAATGACCCAAATAGGCCTGTCAAGTGGGTGTACAATATATTTTGATATTAATAAGTAAAAACTCTATTCAGTCCGTTATACGGTATACGGTAAATTTCGGTCTCAAAGCGTAAAACAATGTGAAACAAAATAACACGTTTTCATTTCTGTGAACAAAAAGTACAACTAATGATAATTATTGTATATTTTCTCTCGTAGTATTTTACGTATTCATAACTCATATCTGATTTTATATTTGCAAAGGCATTCGGGAGAATAATTTATATGTATATTAAGATCTTTACTTAACTTGTCAAATCAAATGAGCTTTCACCCCTTGAAAGGTTTTTAAAGCTATCATCATGACCCATAAAATGTTTGCGCCCGATGGTTTTTATTATTGCACCGGCTTTTTAAGTGCCACATTATTAATCGGATATGTAATTATGGCCGTGCATGAGTAAATTACAGATACTTTAACTTTCTGAAAGGAATCACGAGCAGAAAATAGCCTCTTTTGCTCTTCCAAAATTTCAAGTATTTCTATACCGGCCATTTTTACATAGTTTATTAGTCATGCATGATACCAACGGGAAAATTTTTAATCTTAAAAATTGGATAAATTAACTATATTAACGCAACGAAACTATGTCCATATAAAAATGATATGTTTCTGTTCGCACGCCTTTAATAAACTATGTTTACATACATGTACTTTACATTCCTGATACTTTAATATACTGTTCTAAAATCTAATATCAAGAAATGGCTTTTGACATAAACAGACAGCTTGGTCGAGATATACTGGCATTTCTGAGATTGAACAATTCTAATAATTAAATTAAACATATACACCGCGACCCAAGTCGCTGTCACATGATGAAAGTCAGGAAGAAATGGATTCAGAAGCAAAATGGAAACCGAAGAATGCATCCAATTTGATATCTTTCTTACATAATAATCCCTTAGGCTTACCAATTGAATATAAAAGAGATTGACGCAGCGATGTATTAACCAATTAAAGAATATATCAATATAAGAAAGTCTGTTTCAGAAATCTGAGATTGCCTTTTTACGTACAGTTCGAAAAACTGAAATTTATATATGACGTGGGCCATTTTATCATAACGAAGATTTGTAATTTCAATTCCAAAATCGTTTGAACTTTCAGTACCAAAAGCAATCATTTCGGATATGGGTTTTTTGTGTGTTTTAATCACAATAAGTAAATACTCCCATGTGCGCAAATTTTAAATTTGATTAGCAAAGATAAAACGATGCTAAATTCATCCTCTTGTTCAAATAAAGCATTGTTAAGCCAAATTTATTTCCCCAACTTTTCTCAATTTACAAATGTACAAATAAAAGATTAAATTGTGTCAGGGTTTTTTATGTGTGTGTGTTTTTTTTTAAATTTTAATATCATAATATCAACAACAACAACAACAACAACAACAACAACGGAACAGCAGTAGCTAATTTCTGCACAGCACCGGTCTTTGTTTAATTAAATATTCAAGAGGAGATTTATTTGGATATTAAAGTACGGCAAACGAGAAAACCTACGGCTTATAATACCGGCAGGGGTTTGATCTTACCACGTGTATATATTTAAAATTTTTAGAAAACGCATGTTTATTTTGACAGAACAAAAAACCTCTAAAAGCTACTGCCGCTCGGTTTATGTTAACGGATGAAACTTCTAAAAGGTTTATGGCCGCATCAATTCTGAGGAAAATTATATGTTAGCCCTGACAAGCCTTGCTAGGCTAGTACATCATAGATATTCTCACAGAAGAGAAAAAATCCTAGTTAATCCCGACATCAACCCATGCAGGTTTTCACAAAATTTAATGATATAAAATAATTACAAAAAATTAATCCATGTATGAAAGCGAAGTCGGTTCGGGGATATCTAATGGAACATATTCTTCAATAGCTCGATTAATTTTGGAACTATTATAGGCGCTTATGAGTACTTACACTAAATCCCAAATGGTAATGAAACAAGTTGAGCCCATCATATCGCGTGAGAACGATGCCAAAGTGGGGATGCACTGTGGAAACGTTCCAAGAATGTTCAATGTGCCTTTAATTAAGGCTAAGAAGAAACATTGTGCAAATAGTTCGGCAGTATAAAGAATACAGTCTGTGTGAATAAATTTTCCAAGAATGATAAATCGATCTATGTTTGATAAGAAGCAGTTGATCAAAAAGAGAGAGAGTAAATATCTTAGACAGTCCCGAAATAAATATTGTATTTCCTTCTATAATAAATTCAAAAACAAATATGTGCGATGTCTACATGAAAGAATTTGTAAAATTTATTGCAATTTATTCCGTGGAAATAGCATGGCTGTCGTTGTCTTTCATATTTGCTCGAACCGGGGTTTGAAGGTGGATGGCATAAAAAACTGGTTTTGTTTTTCAATTTTTAGTATTGTTCAACCGAACAATTGACATATATTTATATGAAACCTTATACGAGACTCTGTCATATATCCGTAATACCCTTAAAGTAATATAAAACATGCCAAATGGACAAAGTTTTGTTTTGAAGTACCCCTAATGGCGTATCTTTTTGCAAATTCATTGAAACTGGAGAAACCCTCCTAAAACCTGTCGAATCATATGTTGTTCCTCGGTCATGTAATTTTCTCTTACATTTCATGCAAATTAAGAAACTAAACCAAAAAAGTTTTATTTTTTTAGGATGGGTTACATACCGAAAGTTAACCACATGTAGGTATCTACTAGTATATAAGATTTCTCTAACGAACATACATACAAAGTATTGCTTTCAAAACTCAAATTTTACGAAGGTTCTTAAAGCACTTTGTTTTGACGTCGATTTAACTAATGGGTTTGCTATACACAGGAAGAAAAATGACGAAAATATATTTTCATTTATTTCGATTACTTTTAGGTGATTTTTCATTTTGGATGAGTCAGTTATAACAGCGACGAAACGTGAATAGATTCATTTTCATAAATATTTCAGTAGATTAACACACGCTTAAAAGGATTCAAAATAATAATACACGCGTTTTTTTGGCGCTCTCAGCCTCACAATAACACTTTGAAGGGAAAATGAAAATATACGAGGTGGCTCTGGCAGGGTAATGTGCAGAAAACTGCATAAACAAGAATATCATATGGCGAAAACTGGCCCTCTATAGTCACTCTTGTCCATGTTTATGTGGGGGGAATGTAACCCAGTAGTGAAATTATCCCAAACAGACATATTTATAACCCCAAACCGTTCATCCAAATGTGACTTCAATTTCGTCCCCCTTTTATCATAGAGAAGTCAATTTATACGAAAGGAGGTATTTTATAAATAAGGAAATGTGATATCAAAAAATTCTGGTGGATAACTTAGGGACATAGTGGCATTTTAGAATTTTTGCTCGTCACTAAAATACGTAATTTCAATAACGTATACAAAATTGAATATTTTTTCATGTTCTAATTTTTAAGACATATGTCTGCTGTTATTTTTAAGAAACTTAAAATTACCCAAATGGGGAAACATTTGATTATTTAAAACAACACTGCCTCTTAAGCACTAAGAATGTCTGAGATAATTTCATACTTAAAGAG